TCTGTGAGTACGAGCGAGTCCTGCGGGCCCTGACCCTTCCCCGGGACGCTGGGGAGTGTGGATGTAACACCCGCTCCGCTGGAGCGAGGGACAGAAGATGCAAGGAAGAATGCCAATAAAACTATTACTAATGATAGCCGGTGTCTTTCACTCTTTGGCTCTGCTCTGTGCTATGTTTTCAGAGAAGTTAACAAATTCCTATGGTACGTGTGTATAAAAACCTGTATTATGACTATATAACGATAATATGGAAAAGTATTTGATGCTACACAAAACTGTTATGTTCCATGCTGCGTACATGTGGAATGCAGGAAAACCTATAATACAGTTGCTGCCGCAAAACAAATTTTTCACTTGGATGTTTTCCTTGCTTGAATTTGATGTAATTTCATGTGTCATTACTTCAGCTGCTCGAGCTAGTGTTTCTTTGTCATGGAGAAATCTATCTAGAAGAGGTAGAAGTGTCTTAGTGTCCCCTCATTCAGTACTGTTACAATCATAATTAAGATCTCTTACAGCTACTCTTGCTCTGCATAATTTATCTGCTGTTCCATCTGTGCATGGATATGACTAGTATCTTGCTTCTGGTACTGGGAATAGAAATAAAGTTCATGGGATAGATCAGAGCAGCTCTAGAGATGCGCAACAGCAGCTGCAATCTTAAAGGAAGAGATTTCTTGCAAGATAGTAATTTTGGGTCCATATCCCTCCATCAGATATTCCTGACCACACCTGTGCTGCAGTAGAACAAATCAGAGATCTGCTCGGATGGGAGCTTCATTCTGTGCAAGTCTGCGTATAAATCAGTGGTTTGTGATTATATCCTGAGTCTATTAAATCAATGGGAGTTTGTTACTTGATTTCATTAGGGCCAAGTCTTCACTTTTACTTATTATTACTGTGCTCATGTAATTTAATTTGAAGAACACAAATTTGGAGTCAGTTACATAATGCCGTATTTCAGTGTAGAAATGTGCATGCAAGAAACTGCTGGCAAGTCAGTTCATACTTTTTTTTTTAAGGTTGAAAGGGTACATCTTATATATCATCGTAATTTCGAAGAAGAAAATCCAAATTGCAGAGTTCAAAATCATGCCAATCAGTCCTGTAAATGTGGCGGTTAATGAATCAGACATACAAGTTGTATGATGGCTGAAACTTGCCCTTGGTTTTGATGCTCAGAATTAAAAGTTGAATGACAGATAACACATTTACAGAAGTAAAGTAAATAGGTAGATTTTTTGGGGGGGAAAAAAAGTCTTAGGTTAAATGTCAAAGTTCCCAACATCATACAGGCTCTAGTTAATAACTAAGATGCTTGTGAAAATAGAAGATAACTCAGTGCCAGTCTTTTTACAGGCACTTATTACCTAGTTCTACCGTTAAACCATTTTCATTTTAGACAGAATTATATTATAGTCTGTCTAGTTCAAGTTGCCTGACAGCTTCTGCTCAAAACTGGAGTGTTTGTAAACCTTAAAGGTGTTTATAGGGTGAGGAAATAGAATATAGGATTCTGGTCAGGTTCTGTTATGCCACAAACAAGCCTGCGGCATTGAGAGGTAGTGGAACATTACAGATTCACATACAACATTTTATGTTTCCTGTTTTTGCAGAATATTTTTTCTACAGCCCTCTGCACTCATACAGGCTAGAGTTCATAACCTATACAGTTCACAAACTACAGGGAGTTGTTAATCTATTCAAATTGTCTGAATATTGAAGACAAATATTTCTTTCTAATGTAATTGTACCTTTACATGATGTGTCAAAGAAGGAATCTTGTCACATCTGTGTATTTTCTTCTGATCTCTGTTTCAAACTTAAGTATTTACTACTTGTAGACAAATCATGTACATTGTTTGCATTTCTATAAATTTTAAAATTCAAGTCAAGCTCTTGGAAATTATTTCTGATTCTGAGCAAAAAGAAATTCAGCCATATTCTAGCGTGGTAATGGTGAACTGAAAACCTAAAGTAGTGGCTCAGACCATTACCTTCCTAGGACGAGAGGAACTGCTCCATGAACATCTTTGCTAAGCACCTTAAGAATCATACTTGCACTTTGGAAAGGATTTGTCCTTTGTGCATTTATAACCTGAGTGACAGCTACTTGAAAACTGCAGGAGCTGTCTATTATTTTAGAGCAAGGCCAGCTGGACAGAGAGAGATCTGTGGCCACAAATACTTGTCATTAACCTCATTCCACCTATGGAACAGATATTTAAGAAGCTGCTTAGATAGTAGCTGCCCTGTAGCCTAGAGGAAGATATTTATACAACACTGTCCAAAGTCTAGAAATTTCTAAATCTAAAGTCTAGTGGGATTTTATCACACATATTATTAACTTAATACAAGATTAGCTAAATTTATCAATTTCTAAAGGATGGAGACCAATAATGTAATCTAGCTCCTGAATATAACGTAAAATCGAACATATTTTTCCTGACAAATAACCACTGGCAAGATTAGACAGTGTTTGCAATGATGCAAGGTTTAAGGCTAGTGACTGGGATGCAACTTCCACATGGAAAGTGTTTCATTAGTGCAGAATTATAATGAGATTTGTGGTTCCCTCATATCCTCTGTTAGCAGTCTTGGACTCCATCCCCTTTCCAGTACTGCTGTGACACTGGAATAGCTACATGTATATGAATGGAAGTTACACAGGCAGGGGCAATTTTTGCAAAGTCAATTCTGTGATATTTTGAATTGTTCTGTGACAAATGATACATTTGTCTGCAGGATGGAATAAGTCCAGTACTGGCAATTCCAACAGATACCTTGACAATGATGGGCTTGTGGCTAGGGCACAACCTACTCTCTTGTGAGATTCTTTAGAAGCACAGGAGGAGTTGCCATTGGGTGGCTGGCTGCCCTGTTAGCCCACCATATGGGGTAGCAGAAGCCAAACACTGTGACTCTAAAGAGGGGTAGAGCTCTACTCTGGACCAAAATGGATGAAGTTGCCATTAACAGAAGGGGTTTCTGTCCTTTGGTACCCTGATTATACCAAAATGGGGAGAGGCAGCTCTTCTTCCCCCTCCTTGCTTATGTGTACATCACCTTGCACTCTAAATCTGGCAGATTGTTTCACATACTATTTCACCCATGTCTCTAGGACCTATGTTTTTATTACTGTTTTGTTGCAAAGAGGAACAAAATATAAATAAATGGAAGTAAACATGATGGAAAATATTTTGGGAAGAGGCTATGTTAGTTTCGTCGTTAGGGTTTTTTTATTTGTTGAAGGACTTGGGGCTTTGTCACTTTTGAATGTTTGGAAGCAAGAACAATGAAGAAAATCTTTGTATGTAAATGTCATGTTTTTATAGAGGTTCTCAAAAGTAACTGGAGGCCTGGGCTTATGTTCTGTTGACAGTCTTCTACTGCAAAAACTCAAATATGTAAAGTCAGGAAATTCAGATTTGTGTTTTCAGAACACAAGTAACACGTGTATGAGATACAAAAGATAGAACCTATATGATCTGTAGCATGATATGCAGGATAGAGTTATGCCATAGTATGGTAATTTTCAATTTGCCTTTTAGAAGTAATCTGTAGACATCTGTCCTTTGGTATCCAGAATTTAAAAGCTGGAAATCACTGCTAAGCAGTCTATGCAATTAATCTGGGTTGATAATCCATTCTCTGACTGGCTATTTTATAATAGTGTGGTTATCTCAGTAATTTTTGGAACACTGAAACCCGTTTTCAGAAGGCAGGCTGTGCAATTACTTGGTTTTATATTCAGAATGTTAGACCTCCATTTCAATCATCAGGCATTGCTAATCCTTGGAAACTCTTGGATATAGCTTTGTAAGTCACGCTTCCTAGAAGACAGTGTATTCTTAGTTTGGTTGATGCTGTCTGATTTACAGATGTAAGGAAGTGAGTTTAAAACATCTGTTTAAACAAACATACTGAAGAAAGAACTTTAGTTTAGTGCTTTGAGACATGATGTTGACATACTCTCAAGTATTATTTTCTATGTTATTTGGTAAAATAATGATGTTCAGAGGACCTATGCAGAATTTTAGAAAAGGAGTTAAATGGCTTCTGTGAAAACTGCTGTGTTATCTATTACAATATTTCAAATCTGCTGGATTACCTGTTGATTCTAGGTTTCCAGAACAAATAGGCATGAACATTATCCTTCTTTAGTTGGAGAGAAATTAAGGACAGCCACACTTAGTTTGGCAGCTGAAAAATCACTTTGCTACGAGATTGTGCATATAAAGTAACTACAGAATTGGGGACGACTATTTTTGATATCAGCCATGTGCATGTGAAGACTGCCAGTGCGTGTTCAGCACTCAATCACCATTTGTGACACTTTCAGGAGAATTCTGGCTTATGATGTTGAGCAATTGTCTACATATAAATGCATTTATTACTGGCCAAGTGTACTACTTAGCTCTGAAAGCTTGCTGTCATGAGTTTTTGATATTAGATTGACACAAGAGCTTGAGGGAGAGGAGGGAGGGTGATATGATTTAAGGTCATTTTGAGTTGTTTCTTTGAATTCAGTTTCTGGTTTTTTCTTTTCTATTTATCACTTCTCAGCTACATGTGTGTTATTAGTTAAAATTATTCCCTATGTAGGAGCAATTTAAGTATTTTGTGCTCCTTGTGGCTTTTATGAATTGGTTGGTAGAGAAGGTGAAGTGTTAATGCCATTAGTGTTACATTATTCCCTTGTCTGTATTTTAAGAAGTAACTGTGTAATTTCCAACTTCAATTTTGTCTGTGCAAGGAAAGTCACATGCTCAGAAGTTTAATATGGATTCAGACATTCTGGAAACCTTGGTTTTCATTTACCCTTCTTAAAAATAAGGATTCTCATACTGTAATAGTTGTTACGGTCTGAAGTTAATCTCAAATACTTGCCAAGAAGTATGAGAGCGGTCATCCCATTCTGTTGTCCAAAAAATGCATCTTATTTTATGTAGTTAGCTTGATGTTGTTTTCCTTGTGATAGGGAACTGTGGTTTCTCACCATGACAGCTCATGGTAAAGCAAGATAAACCATGTAGGCAGGTTGTCACATATGTGATGAGAACGATCTGACAGAATCTGAACAGGAATGCCAAGGAGCACATTCCTGTGCCAAGCATAGAAAGGGAATTCTCAAACTTACCACGAAACAAAACTGAGTTTGCATAAGATACACATGCTTCTGTGAAAGAGAATAATCTAATGCCTCTATCTCTATCTTTCCAGTGGAGGAAATACCCAGGCCACAGATTGCCAATTGTACGTTCATGTGAATAGGACCTCTATCTTCTTGCTTTTTCAGACAGCATCTTCAGGAGAATTGAGGAACACAGGCTGACATGGAACTGACAGAGGTCCAGCAGCATGAAATAGTTGTCATGGTGCTTATGTTGGGACCAAAACCTCATTTTACTGTGAAAATAAAGCTGAAATTAAACTACCATCAATTTTTTTTCCCCTTGGAGGCATTTAATGATTTCTTGCTAATGTTCCATTCAGAATATAATTACTGTATGTAAAGTAATTACGGCTCAGCTATGTATAACTGTCGGATGAAGCTCAAATCCCTTTTGCGGGCTTTAATCAAGCTCCAGCCACATCTTCTCTTCTGTGAATCCTCTCATTTTATGTGCAGAAGTAGGAAGCATTTTTCTGTGGCACTGTTTATTTGGACCCTTACTTTTGCCTCACCTGATGTCCTAGGATGAACTGGTTGTCAAGAGAAGGGAACGATTGGAACCAGCGAAGCAGTGTCACTTCTCTCTAACAAGCCTGCAGAAATGTTAAATGCAGTTTTAATCCTCGCTGATTCTTCCATGCTGCTGCTCTGCACCAGGGACCTGTCTCCCCCTGAAGGCTGTGCCAGGGGCCAGAGCAAGAAAGGAGGGTTCATTCATTAAAAGAACCTCACTTGCTTCTTGCATTTAGTTAGTTTAAGAAAACACTTAAGAAGAAACACTGTAAAGCCAGCTGTTACTGTACAACAGCTTTGAATAGATGAAATTACCAGTGTTCTCTTGAGGCTTTTGAGGAGCATAACTAGCTGATCTCTCTTCTCTCTCCTCTGTAAATACAGCTTACTGTCTGGGTTAAGACTGAACATGTGAAAGTGACATCTTTTAAGCTTATATTACTATTCGTATTGTTGCCGTGGGATTTATGGTGCTGAAAAATCTCCCGGAGCAGTTAATTAGGGGTGAGATAAGAAAGGGTTTATTTTACCAAGGCTAAAGATGTTATAAGACGTGCGCCCCTGTGCCCGAGAGGTTACATTTTTATAATACCCTCCATCCAATCCCAGATGTGTCCACCCTGTGGCCTTTACTCTGGTCCACCCCGGGTCCACCCCCTGAGAATGGGTCTGGGGTGCATTTCGGGACCCCCTGTTCATCCCATCTTCATCTCCCTCAGAGCACAAAGGGTACATAGTCACCCAGTTTTTGACTGTGTTCTGTGGATTAGGCCCTGATATGCTGTTCTGCCAACAATCTAGGCCTTGCCTTGACAAAAGACTAAACATTTCTACTGGATTCGGGAGTAGGATTGATATAGGGAGCATAGAATGGGGTAAGAGGGTTAAGGAACGTGTAAACAAGGGTGCTAGAGGGAAAGGGAAAGGGACAAAGGAGAGAGGGTTGCTGCTTTTAAAATCTACTTATAAAACTTATAAGGCTTACCAATATTAGAAAAATAAAAAACCATTAGGGGCTTAAGGCATCAGTATCAGGTGTAAATTGTTCACAGTGTCTGGCCCATTCCGAAGTTCTCATCCTTTGCTGAGAGTAAATTCTGTGAATCACATTTTGCAGATGAGATCACACCAGACTGCTTATATCACAGCACAGATCCCTGTGGGACTTCACCGTAAATACTGCTCACATTCTCCTATACAGTTTCTTATTTTTTTTCTTTATCCATACAGAAAGGCTTCCTTGCACGATAAAGACCAATTGGATTTTTCTCAAAACTAAACATTTGTTAATGTAATAGTAAACATTCATGAAATCCCACAGAGTCTTGTGTTAAACAACTTAGTTCTAGGCTATAGTGTAGTTGTGCATGGAGATGTAAGATCCAGCTGAACAAGTATTTCATGCTTGCAAGTCCCAGTCTAATTGTTCAAAAGTAATATGCACACTCAATTCTCCCCTATGTCTAGAAGTCAAGATTGTGTTTCATTTATGTTGCAGTTTTGAGTCCTTAAGCTTTGTATTACTGTGCGAAAAATCAAATTTGTCCTCATCTTTTTCTTTTTTTTTCTTCCCCTCCTCCCCCTCCCCCCAAATGCAGAAAAACTTCACTGGCCTAAGACAGAGCTTTCTAGGAAATCAATCCTGAGTCTGGAAGTAGATAAGCTGAACATTAATAATGAAAACAGCCTCCAGCATCCACCTTCTGGGATCCTTAAGGACATTTTCACGACAGGAACCAGTAGCTACAATGTCCTTCTGCAGAGCAAGGAGGAGAAAAAACACCACGCTCAAAAGCAGTCATCTGCTCACCACAAGAAACACAGGAAAACCTCCAAGTGTTCTACCACCTTGCGAAGCAACGAGCACCGCAAAGTCAAAGCCCCGCTCCCCTTGCTCAGCAGTGGGTGGTACTGCACAAACAGGCAGCCCTCCATCATCGTCACTAGCCCAGTGGCTACCGGTGTGAAGTTTACAAACAGTATTTCAGTTGCAGGGAGCAGCACGGGACTGCCACCTCGACCCAGAAGTAGAACTAAGAGGCATTTTAATCTGACAAAGCCAAAGCAGTCCCAGTCCTCAAAAAGCAAGGGAAAAGAAGGCGATGTGTCTGGCCAAAAACTCTGTTTACTAACTGCAATCAAGCCCTCCAATGTGGAGAAAGAGAAGATTAAATTCTTCAACTCAGATTTCACATACAATCCTCAATTTGAATATGAAAACCCTGCTCTGCCAAATGTGTTAGCTAAGCACAGCCATGCATCTGACAGGTTTCTTAAGCAGGTATAGTTACTTTTTTTCCCTCCTGTTCCACTGTTTATTTCTTCCTACACCTAGATGGTACTTGGTTTTGTTTGTAGGATGTCATTTCTCCTTATCATCCTCCCCTACTGTTTGAAAAATGCATCAAAGATGAGAATGCAATAGTAAAACTGAAATAAAATATTTTTATTAAAAAATTAAAGCCTTCCTAGAAGTTACAGGATTTTATAGGATAAAGACACAGTTCCTTATAATTGGGTTTACATGAAACAGACTTTAAAGCAAGACAGTTTTATAGGCAATGAAGCAGAGTCTAGTACAGGAAAAATACGGTGCCTGAATAGGCAGAGGAATAAAGCAGCATGGAAACCCTGCCAATCCTCTTGGTGACACAGGGATTGGGAGGGGATAGGAATTATTTGAGGTCATCATTATTGGATAAGCGTATGTTGATGTTCCTTGCTTTAATCAACTTTGAAAGAATATGCATATACATTAGACTCAGTCAAGCAGCAGATTCCATTCCAGAGAGAGGTAAAATTTAAAAAGACAAACCCCTCCTTTTTTTTTTTTTCTCTCCATGATATGCAGCCACACTGGTAAGATAGCTACAGACATTCCCAACTGCCTCGGCTTCCTACCTGAGTCACAAAAAGTCCCAAACAACAACAAAAGCCTTGCTTTCAACTTTGACCTAAATGACAAAAACTGGTGCTTATCTATAAAATAGCAGAAGCTATTCCCACTTTTGCTATTTTTAAATGGTTTAGAAGGATCTTATTTAAGTCTGACAAGCTTTTCTGAATAGAGAATCTTATGTTTCAAGTGATACTTAACTTGGGAAGACATCCTGCCATTCCATGAGCTTCACTTCTTTGTGATATGAATATTTCACTTAAAAACTCCCAAAATTCCTGGTGAAAAGGATACATGAATTAAAGTACCATAGAATCTAAGAACTGATACTTGACTTGTGAACAGAGTGACTTTGTTTTTTTCTGAATCCAAGAATGCACAAAAGTGTTCTATACCCATTAAATCTTTGTATTGATGGTCTTGGTCTGCTTTTCCACATTGAAAATATCTGTCTATTTTAAAAACTCAGTTTCTTGGGTTTCATTAAAAATTTATTTTCTTTCTGAGAACAGCTGTTCTGTTCTTACAATCCATCTTCCACACTTCTAAACAACCAACTAAATCATACTGACACCAAATAAAACTGCTCCTTGACTAGAGCTTTTTAACAAGTTTTCCATTGATTTTTATAGCAATATTAGCAACACTAATCACAGATTACAACAAATCAACAATAACTAATTTGCCAAAATGAATTTAATACAAATTATCCCTTTCAGTATGGTCTAGCAGAGCCTTAGAAGTTATTTTATGAATGTTCATTTTCTAGATCAAGCTTGTCATTTGTTTACCCTTCTTTTAATAAAAAACCCCTACACCTAAATAATGAATATTTTAATAATGAATAATTCCTCAATATTATTCTGATTTCTAACTCTGCCTTTTTCCCTGTCCATAAAAAGCCTGGGAAAATAAAGTCTTTGTAACAACTTTATAAAAAGCAGTGAAGGATTTAATATTCAGTGAAGTATGATGCTTCACAAGATTTAGTTTAAGTCACTAGAAAAGCATTTATTCAAAGTTCAGCTCCTAAAAATACTGAACAAAAATATCTTGCCCTTAAAAATTACTAAACCAACAGCTTTAACACAGCTCCAAGCCCAGCAGGTGTCACTCTCTCTTTTTTATCTACAATTAACTTTAGAAATTTTCATCTCCACGCAAATTTAAATTTAATTTCATGCAAATTCACTATCCAGAAAAAGCAGCATTAATCAAAATTTTAATCAGCAAGTAGTGTAGGAGCACTTGCTTTTCCTCATTGCTATTTTTTTTCCACGCAGATTTTTCTTGTCAGAAGAAAAACGTAGGTATCTTAGAGGAAGTTCAGTTCAGGAAAGATGACTTCAGTTGTGAAAAAGTACTCACAGTATCAAGAATTGGATCTGAATTAAAAACAAAACTGTGTATAGTCATCCTTTTTGCTGCAACGAGGATAAATTCAGGTTTTTATTTTTGGTGTTTTTTTTTTTTTAAGAGTTTTGGCTTTTATTTATTGTTGTACTTATTTTAGATAGCTTTGCTATCTGCGAACAGAATTATTCCCATTTTATTTTACAAAAGGTACTCACTGCAACTTACACATGCTTGCTCTTTTATGAATAAAAGGCTGTAAACCCAGGTTTTTACTGAGAGAACTCACCATTTTTATTGGGGCCTTTTAGGATACTTCAGTGAAACAAGCTCAAAACCTGACATTTGGGAATTTTAGAAGATTTTTAATAATTTCAAAAATATTTTTACCCCCAGCTGTGCATATCCTGCCAGGACACTAAAATAGATTGTGTTTTCTTATTGCCCTTTCTGCTTTTGTGCATATCTATGAAATTGGTTAATATAGCATTAATGCAATATGTCTGGAAGACAAATCACTCTCTGCCCCATTTATTTGGGTTTTTTAAAGGCAAAGAACACTGTGGTTTTGCAAACCATTAACACAGCAATGCTGGAATGAGGAACACAGAGGCTTATGAGCACTTACTTTGTTCCTGTGCCTCTACTTAAAGATTTTAACCTCGAGCACAGCCCAACAGTTTTATCGATTGACTTTTCACAGGCACAGAGAAAACATTTTTGAGTTATTATTACATTTGAAAAATACTAGTTTTAATGTCTTTCTTCTCATATTTTGTTTTGTTTCTTTATTTCTCTCTTTCTACTTTACGTTGTTTTCTTCATAATAAGGTTCTTCATGAGTCACACAATATGTGCCTTTAGGGAAGCAAACTTGAGAATAAAAAAATAGCCTGCAGATTTGCAGCTTTTCACATTGATTGACATAGCTGATATTACAGAAATTAATTCTCTTATGGCTGTGCTTCAAGGTCACTGCAGCAACTGTGTGCTTGAAGCGCTAATAAAAGTTTCTCGCTCAAAGTATTTGTCCTTAAGTTTCTTAACACTTTAGGTGTTTGTTATTTTTGCTCAGATGCTAGAGGTGGCAATACTTACTTAGAAGTAATTGTTCCCAGTGTTGCAGAGCAGATGACTTAACTTTGCTGAAACAAAATCAGCAAGTTGCAACTTTAAGTAACCTGTTTCTTTGAATTTACAAGGAGGCGAGAAATCTACTTTTATATACACAATTTTTAAGAAATACAAACAAACAAAAAACCCCCCACTATTTTGTTGAATGAGCAATCTCCCATGAATGAGATGTACATCCTCTTCCCTTGTACTCATAAAAATATAGCAGTTTTGACTTAGTAAATAAACCAGTTATACCACATTGCAAGTGTTTGTATGACACACCTTTTAAGGCAATAATACTAGTAGCCTACAATTAGCAAATTTATCAGAAGTTGAAAAATAAGGTTAGGTGGAGCTGGAAGGCTGAACAACATGACATTCAACACTGAGTAATCCTTTGCTATGTCCAAGTGATGTCACAGCTTAGGCATGTTGAAGATTAAAAAACATGACACTGTCTGTAAAGAGCACCTAATTGTGAAATACTTCATTCTTTAGTAGTAACAAATTCCCTCCTTAACTAAGATTTATAGATAAGGCATGTTAATATATAACACAAATTATATCAGGCCATCCAAGTAGCATAAGTTCCCAGGGTTCAAGACAAACATCTCACTTCCTCTGGAAGAGACCATAGATCACTTCTGGTGATACTACAAAAGGAGCATAGGTTTATTGCAGAACACAATCTCATACAAAAACCAAGCAAGTATTAATTTTTAATTTCTTACAAAGTATTTAAAAAGTTTTCCATTAAAAATATTTCTAACAGCTCTAAATTACTTAAACATGCTCTTTATCCCACTAAGAACAAGCATGCAAAAGAAAAGCCACTGTAAACACTGAATAAAACTCAAAATACTACAGCCTGGGTGGACTAGCATCAAAAACCTGCACTTACCTCCCTCCCCACCCTTCTCTTGACCCAAACAGCCACCAGTTCATGGCTGTTGATTAAAACTAACAAGTTCAATTTGGTACCTCTTAGTGTTACACAATCATGCACCTGGGAAGCTTTTTTCCCCAGCAAATAAGCAATTCAGGGAGGAAAACAATGGTGTCTGCAAGCCTTGTCTGTCTTCTAGATCTCAGCAGAGACTGTGACCCTTTTGTAGCAGAGCTGCTTCTGAATGTCGGATGAGCTGATTTGAATGTAGGGGACTGAGCCCCTTTTCTGACTTGGTCCCCTCAAATGCCTCATGAGCATGTCTTATCAGTACATCCTTCTACAGTACCTCTCAAGTAACTAAGCTGCATTCTGCACATGGCTGACTCGGGATTCAGAGACCTACTTGGCTGTAAATAATTTGTTTTAAAAAGCCAACATCACCATAACCTAAACCAGGCAATTAAACAGCCTTGTCTCGCTTTTCTTAGTGCTTCTGTGTCATTGCTTTCTTGAGCATCAGTAGAGTTTGCTGTGCAAGGGGGCTTGCCCTGAGACTGCTGCTTCTTTTGGTACTCTTTGGTAGTGATAAGGGAGGTTGAAGCAGACCTTTAGCTAACTAAGAAAAAAAGAATAGGAATTATTGTTCCTAACCAGTAATGTGGTACAGCCACATACTTCTTGCTTTCTTCCATTTTTTACCTGTTCATGAGGAGTTTACAATTTTGCCTTATGAACTATGGCAATACCAGTATTCTGCTGGCCCAAAGGCTGGAAAATAAGCTCACAGTTGGATGCTGGAATAGACAAGACCTGGCATGCTGGTCTAGATTTTCCCTTTTCCCGACAAGTTCTTGCAACACCTGACTGAGTCATCTCACCTTGGAGACAGGTGCAGAATGCCAAATGAAGACTACTTCTGTTTCACTTGAAACAGAGTCAAGAGAGAAGGTATTAGGGGTGAGCATCCTTCTTAGTAATTTTTTGTTATGTGTCCAGCAATAAGGAGGCTTAAGCTTAATGACTTTCTCAGCATGTATGAGTTCAAACTTGTAACATCTCTTTGGACATGGCTGGAATGCCAGGATATGGGTTACTCAGCATGGCACATAAGGTAGAGGAAGCACCCTTCAGTATCCCACCCTTTCCCTTGGAGCTGCAAACTGCATCAGGTTGAGGTAGAAGAGGCCAGAGAGTCTCTATGCTTCTTCAGTAGGATTTATCTACAACTTGGACCTCCTGGCTCCCAAACTTGTGCTACCTGCCTTAGCATGGATGTCTCAGCTCCAGGGAGTTTGCTTTTACAGACAGCCAAGCAGAAAGTTTAATGTGTGTTTGGTGTCTGATGCTTATTTTCTCACTGTTTGTTATGTTGAGGTGGTTTTAGAAAATACCTGCACTCTGAGAAATGTAGGAGAGTCCTCTGGGATAACACCACCTATATAATACTGCATCTCATAGTATTAATGTATTTATAAATCAAAGCATCAGAACGGGATTGCTAATAAAGTTTACAAGCCCTTCTCAAACACCCCTGTTGTTATGAACTTTCACATTGAGAAGAAACTGCCCTCTTGCTCTCAAATGGTTTTGGCACTCCTCTGCTTCATCAAACCTGTTCTCATCCACCCCTACTCAACTGTGATCAGCGCTCTAGATTTGTCCTACTTTTTTCCAAAATTCTGTAAAATATCTTTGCAATTCTTTGAGCTTACTTTTTATCTTTTGCTACCTTTATTGGCTTTCTTCAGCCTATGAATCTCACTTGCCTGTTCTTCTCCATCCAAAGGCTTTGCTGTCACAATGTCAGAAAAGCTTTTTATCATTGTTTGATATGAAACTGAGCTGGATGAGATGTTTGGTTTGCTGAGAGGCACAATAGGCATAAAAATGTAGTGGCCTTGTTGCCACTTACTTTGGAGAACCCAACAACCACATGATCCTTTGGATATGGCCAAGTGTTGCCTGAGAGAGGAATGCTGGTTCACCTAAGATAGCACTGTTCCTTGGGACCTACCAACAATTCAGCTCATGGATGGACCCTTTCCAGCACTCGAGCCAATATCCTGGTCTTGTTTGATTTGCTGGTAGAGAGGTGTAGCCAGAGTGCTAGGTACTTTCTGAAAGATGCCTTAAAGAGTCTTAAAAAAGGAAAGGAACAAATCCTGATGGCTTTTGAAAATAACACCCATCCCTCAGTTCCTGCAGTAAATAACTTTCAGAGAATTGAAAGCCAAACCTTTCCGATCTACTGTGTTTTAAGTCACATTATTTAAAACTTTTGAGAGGAATTGCTGTTCTGTACAACCATACATTTGAAGATAGAAAGACCTATCTCAGAAAGGGAGGGTTCAGGGGACACCACGCAGCACAGCTGCTGTGCGTGCTCATTGTGGTATTGTAACGGGGAGAGGCAAAGCCAAACCATTTGCACTGGCTCAGGTGGTGGCAGGGCATTCCTATTTTTACAATATCTCTCTTCAGTTATCCTGATGCCTGATCGTATAATGAAAACTGGGAAAAGAAGATAACGTGTTCTTTGTCGGTGTCTTTCTTTACAACATCCGCTTCTTACTCCTGAATCAGGTGCAGGGGCACAGCTGCCCAGATGGGCCCGATCCTGGGAACCAGTCAAGTGTCACCAGGGCCCCAGTGGGTCCAGTGCAAGTCTCTGTCAAGCTTGACCTATGGCTGGAGTTAGCATGGTGGCGAGGGAGTTTTGGCCGCGCAGGAGGCGGTGAAAGGAAACATGGTTCATGTAACTAGATTGGGTGGCTTTATGGTGAGCCTGTTTCTGCCAGAGTCATTCTCGTGAGGCCACGCACGCTGACTTTTTGGCCAAGTTCTGTGAGTAACTTATTGTGGTGCTGCTGGGCTGTCCCTGAAGAACTGGTGTATAGACTTTAAATAACCAGTAGCAGGTTTCTGTTTATCCCTCACTTTCCTTTTTGCTATAAGCGCTCTCCAGCATATGCCCTCTGCTCCCATATAAATAAAGCCTTATTGTGGAGGCTCAGGTGCAGTGGGGACAGAGATCGCAGCATTGAGACACAGTAGGTAGATTCTTTGCTTCCATATTGCTTAACCCTCCAAAAATAAAGCCTTCTTTAAAAAAACAGAGAGAGTTAGCTTAATCTGTGCTAAGGTAGCAAATTATGCCCTTTCTTCATTCTTGAAAAAAACACTCAGATCTGACCAGATGGTCCTTCAAATTTAATAGCATGTATAAGTGGCAGACAAAGAAATACTGAATATTAGGTGCAGTATTTCTTTGGCATTCAGGTAAGTGATATTTCTCTTATCAAAGAGCTACTGGGCTTTAAGAGTGTGTCGAGCTGTCATTTATGGGTTTCAACAGCAATTACTCAGGGTTGCTTAGTTTCAACTTGAAAAAAACTAGAGTAGGATTGTTAGTAGCTGTGAGAGATAAAAGATTAATCCAATTTTTGTGGACAATTGTCAGTCTGACAATGTCAGAATTACACAGCTGGAAACAAGCATTTTACCAGCTTCATGCATAGAAATAAGTGTATAACATAAAAACAGATTCAGTCTGAAAGATTTCCACCTTCATTGTTAGTGGTATTTTCTTAGAAAGACTGTTAGTTTTTTAAGGTAATATCAGGAGCTTCTGTTATCAAATCTATGGAAAAAATACTATTCTCTGTAGCTGGACTGTTGCTGGGAAAGAGGTTATTCCAAGCCACATTTTCCTTTAAGGGTGTGAAATGACTTACTGGAAAGCAGATTACTGGGGATGAGCATTTCACACCCCACTAGTAACATCTTCAACATGCAGAGTTCAGATAGTGTTATGGGCATCATGCTGAGCTTTCCACCTACAAGGGTCTGCTTCTACCAGCAATACGTAAGAGAATTGTTGATACCACTCTGTTTGTCTAGTGAAACATGCCTCCTTCATTTTGGGGGGCAATAAAGATGTATCATGGTTTAAATGAAAATTTTAAATTAAAGTTCTGTAAATAAAATTCCTCTCTCTCCTCCTTTCTGAAACAGACACCTATGGTACAGAGGATTTCATTGTAAAGAGACATTTTTGGTTGAAATATTATCGTTAAAATTATAGTTAAACATCTGCTTAATCATGGATCAGTGTTTCTAAATTAGAAAATACCAAGAAATGAAGCAAGATGACAGTAATAGTTGATCTTTGTAAAATTCTTTGGAAAACCATAAAAAGAAACATGCTGACAAACTGCAAATATCCTGTTATATCCTGTTTTACAAGGCAGTTGTACAACATTCCCAAAATTAAAGAGAAAATGGGTATTATTTCGCTAGACTGATAATCATGATGTGTGTGGGTCTAAGATGATTTGATCAGAATCTTTTGTTAGTATTTTGGCATTGATGTACATCTGAAGCTGGTATAACTTCATTGCAGAGTGTGTCAGCCTGTATTAAATGAGTACAGCTTGATAGTGACTGTCAACGAGTTAAGAAAAGAAGAAAGATTTTAAAATTAAAAAAAAAAAAGAGAGACTGAGAGGGAGAGAAAGAATACGCATGCCAATCTGACATGGGGATCTTACTGCACTGATATTTGCTATGCTTTTGTATTTTATAGTCCATCAACATTATGGAACGAACATTGCAGAAATATGGAAGCTATGAAAAATTTGAACAGGCCACTGGAGGCAGCTTGCTGACCAAAAGTCGCATCTGGAATCGTGTCAGGAAATACATGGTGAAAGAAGGCTGTCTTGGTGAGGTAAGTCATACACTGGGTCAGGAAAGAAACATTTATGTAGACCTTAGATGTTACACATGGATAGACCCCAGAGACCATCTGGGAGGCCTTTCCTCCATAATTACAAGAATATTCCTTACATCATATTTTTCCCATGGCTATACCCACTCTAACGTTTGAACAATTGAAACGATGCAAATTCCTTGTGAATGCTTCAGCCATCTCTCTGGGCCTGTTTCCTGATTCATATATGCTTGTTCTTAAATTCACCTCTTTTGGGAGTACCCAAGAACGACACCCTTCCTTCCCTCCTTTTTTCAGCTACTTGGAGACTAGCACATTTCCATTTATTCATCAGTTCTGCCATCCGTTCTCTTGTATCAATTTATTTACACCAAAGGAAAGAGTTAAGAAAAGGCCAAGAAAAATAAGCACCAGCCCAAGAGACTGATTTATAAGAAGTACCACAAATGAAAGTGACATAAGTGAATAAAAATGTCTGAAAGAGGTTGGCTTGTTGAGTTGGTTTGAGTGCTGTTTTTTCCTGGATTTAAACATCTAATTTTTTAGAGCCCTTTGCAAAAAACTTATTTCCTATATTCAGGATTTAAAAAGACCGGTTTGATGGAGTTACATTGAATTGCTTGGAAAAGTCAAATGAAATTGAATGTTTAAAAAGAGAACTATTCCAAATGAAATCACCAGCTGACACAGTCCAAGACTTGGGTGAGGTCACTGGCAATGAGCAAGAGGAGTCTGGAATGGGAGATCAAGAGACAAAAATTAGTTTCCCAGAAACTAGGTTTAATTGGTAAATATAATATTATTAGGAGAAACTGTTAAACTCATCACACAGTTTTGTGAGACTATGATCTGACACTCATAACCAGACCTTACCTGTGTTTCTAAGAGTTAATGACAGTTTAGAGCAAGCATAAAAAAAATTATATGTTTGGCCTTTGCTATGCTTTTGTCTCCCTTTGCATTCAGTTTTGGCTTGGTTTGACTTCATGGAAGCAGGATCCTGCATGCTCATCCAGCAACCCATGTCCTTCTTAATGAAATGCTTTACTTTTTCTGCAAAAATAAAGTTCATACAGCATGTTTAGTATGGTCTAAAATATTATGAAAATACTCTTGCCAGCTGAAGAGATGTTAATAAAGCTAAGTGGTACCTGTGCTTTAAATCTAAATGCTTTGGTATTTACCTATTTTTTCTGCCTTTTAAATATAAGTTTTATACGACTGACTGTTTGCTGTTGAACTTGAAGCTGAATGATGAGTTTTGAATACAGGGAAGTGTCATGTTAATGCCTTTGATCCCTGGGTCCTTTTTTTTTGATACTAAAAAAGTCATCTTTCTTTTAAGTACTCTCCCTTGTACTCTTCTGAACAGTACTGTTTCTTTACGCTTTACATGAAGAGGGAAAGGTGCTTAGTCTTCAACAAAGAGAGTTTCCCTTCTCCCTCTCAGTCACTTGTTTAAAAGGGCTTTTTGAAGTCAAATAACAAAATATATAAATATGCATTAATTTCCTTCTCTGGCAGTTTTTGTCTTGATGACCAGTTTTCCAAGAGAAAACAGGAAAGCAAGAACTATATTCCTGTATAAACCAAAATGAAACAATACCAGCATTTTCATAATATTTCAAGTCCTCATCATGTAACAGGAAACAAAGTACACAGTGCTTCCTCCTCCCATTCATATGGCTTTAGAACTGCAACTGAAAAGGTTTCATACAGTTAGATATACAGATACCAAAACAATTTATGTGTATTTACCTAGTATTTTTCAGTTCTCAGTAACTCTAAGATAATTAGACACAGTTAAAAAAATGGAATTTTGTCTAATTTACTCTGCATTTAGTTGCTCCCTGACCCTTGAATCTAGTCACTGTTACTGTATTAAATTTTGCAGTCTCCTGTCTGTCTATCTTAACCCTCTTGCTGAATCCCACTGAAGCCTGAGGTTTTGTCAGCAGCACAGGTGAGTAGGATAAACTCAGTGGAGTCAGAAAGGTCTCTCACAGGTGATTGCTGGCAGCAAGGAAGAGTTGTGAAGGGCAAGGGACCAAAGAGAAATGAAATAACGGAAGGACCAAAGGAAAAAGCAAGAACAAGAGTGAGAAGAGAGCTCTTTGCTACCTGAACTCTCTCCTCTTCAGATTGTGGTCCATCTCACGGAGGACCTGCTATCTCGAGCCTCAATGACAGTGGTGAATGGCCGCCCCACTCTCACTATCAATATCTCCACTGCACGAGAGCACTGGCTGGAAGGGATGCTGAGACACGAAATTGGTATGAATGTGACATCAGTTCTTCAGGCAAAGGGGAGTACTTGCATGCACTCTTAATTATTTCACAATGATGAGCCAGGCACTATATATAAAGAACCTGTGCTTTAGGTGTGCTATAGGGAAGGAGAAACCTTTTTATCAATGCAGCATGCAGTAAAGGAATTCCTAGGGTTTGTGTACGTTAGCATTTTAGGTCAGATCCAGAGTGAGCTCTTGAAGGAAGTCTACCAGCTAGTCCCACTTACTGCACTGAGGTTCACGTGCCAAAGGAATCTTGGAGCAGGCAAAGTGTAATCCTTTCAGATAATGCTAGTCCAGAGGCTATGCTCCAGGGCATACCTTGTGTGCTGTCACTGCTCAGGGACATTTTACTCATGAGAGCAATTTAGAGATACTTTGGAGTTAAAAAAAAAAAAGGGGAAATGAAAATAGTTTGACCTTTCAACCTCAGCTCCAGCCATTTCACTTTAAAAATCTGTTTGTTACACTGTATTGCTTGCAAATGTAGGCAATGCTTTAGGCAGAAAGAATTTACCCAGCGACCCCTAAACTGCTGTAAGATTGCCTTGGTTTTGCATTACACAAGGCGGGCCCAGCCCTGTGGAAAATTCCTGCAAAATTTTCAGTGCATCTGTTTTAATTAAGGACATCTAAAATGCATTAACTTGGCTAGTGCCTGAATATCAACTGAAGAATAAGCCTTGCAATTGCCTTGAACCACAGTTACTCACATTGTAAGGGGACAGAGCATCTTCCAAGGCTGCCATAGGGCTGTTTAATCACCTTCAGGAGGCAGCATTTCTGCCCCCTTACTTTGATTTTCCTTCCTTCTTGTCATTACAATGCCTAGCCTATGCCAGAGATATTCAGCATGTAAGACACTTTTGCAAATTCCTTTCCACAGATTTGGAAAGTCAAGTCTTCCTGATAGTTGTATTCCTTAGGCATTTTCAGAAGTCTCACTTGCAGTCAGCAGGTGAACATTTGCATTGTGTATCTATCTCTGACAAAATTCTCTGTTGCAGACAAGGCCAAAGGTGTCACTTTCCCCAGTTCCCAGTCCTACCTGCTCAGAGTTCTGAAATGGGCGTCTCCTTATATATCTTATAATTTTTTGTTAATCATTCAATGCTACCACTCTAAGTGCCATAATCCTTCTTCTTTTCAGGAACTCATTATTTTCGTGGTTTTAACAACAACAGCCAGCCTTGGTGCAACCGGAATGGACGTAGAAAACATGGGTTAAAACCAATCAACCCTACAGAAGAGGGGCTGGCGAGCATTCACAGTGTACTGTTCCGCAAAGACCCTTTTCTTTGGAGAGCTGCCCTGCTCTATTACACAGTGTATCAAGCTAGCCAAATGTCCTTCAGTCGGCTTTTCCAGGACGTGGGAAAATTTGTCAAAGACCCCAGTACTAGATGGGATTACTGCGTAAGAGCCAAGAGAGGGTGGACTGACACATCACAACCAGGTGGGTTGCCTATTATTTGTCTTCTCTTTTTTTGTACTTCAGGGAGGTTTTCAGGACATGCACAGAGCTCCTTCATCATGTCACACGGTAAAACTTTTGCAAAACGGAGAAATGGGACTCCACACTTTCTGAGGTGTCAGGAATTTCACTATGGAAAACAGGGCTGAAAATGCATGTGTGAGACTTTCAAGCTGAATCAGTAAAGGATTTTTTTTTGTTGGAAGTGGAATGTAAATACAAACCTGTGAAAAAGTCCATACTCACAGCTTGACTTGCCCTTTCATATTTATTACAAGAGATGCAATGTTGCAGTGGTTATTCACAGACACTATCGTCTGTGTTTGATTTCTTTCTCTGGCTAGTGGGTTTTACCTTCTAGTTAGTTTTTGGAAAGGTTTTTCAAGTCAGGGGTATAAATGTCTAGTTTTTAAAAATAAAACTGTTCTGCTCATAATGGCTTCTGAGAACATGCCAAACCTTGATAGAGTGCAATGTATCTCCATTCCTTTCAGGCTGTTTCAATAAGGATCAGGTGTACTTGGATGGCATCCTCCGAATCCTGAGATACAGGGAGTCCATTGATTTCTATCTTCTGACAGCCCTTGGAAAGGTGAGCAGACTGATTATGCCCAAAGGCTGCAGTTTTACCATTTCAGCAAGCCTGCCTGCAACGAGCTCTGAGTCATCCTGCTCTCTTTTACTTTGATCTGGAAATCTCAGCTCCGTACAGCACTTTGAATTACGCTGTGCAAGTTGCAAATATTTTGAGGTCCTAGAAACTTCTACCAGATTCTCCTCATTCCTTGCTTATTGTTTTATCTCCTCAATTAAGATTTTATGGTTATATTTCTCAGACTTTCCTCCCTTTATGGAGTACTACCTGACTTGTAGCACAACAGATTGGCTTGGCCAAGCAGGACAGGTACTAGATAAGGTGGTAGCCCTAGCAGGAAACAAAATTAACCATTTGATTCTAGCACATCCCCTTCTACCACAAAGAATTTTTTATCTCAAATTTCTCTCACTGGTGGCACCTGTTTTTCAAAAATCATTGTGGGGTTTTTTTCCCCAGAATGTATGGTATTTCTACATTGACAGAACATATTTTATGTCCATTCTAACTGTCACAGCTTGTTTGTTCTGAAAATCATCCTAAGAAGTGCAGAAATTTTGTCACACTTCTTGAACCAAATCCTTGGGTTGCTAAGTTTCCACAGTTCATAAAGCAGGGTTCATACTCACATAAACTGGGAGTCAAATTGACGTTAAGCTTGCATTTAGAGCTGGTATACCAACATTTCTGCCTACTTGGCAATAAATGGGTGGTAAAGGGAAGGAGCATATTATGACAGAGGATTTTGGTCCACATTTAAGTTTTGCCTTTACTGTCAGAAACATCCATATTGATAAGCAAGAGCTATTTAGGTAAATGAGCCAAGTTAGAAAGCTCTGAAAATAAAATTGCACTGTCAGATAAGTCTTTATTCTCTGAAATTTCCTTGTGCTTTAAGCCTGCTTAACTCCACACAGCTTCTGCCTGCAACTCTACTGAACACACACTGTTCCTGTGCTGCTTCATGCCTTCATGCTTCATGCTGCTCCCTGTCTCTCTTCAGGGAGTCTGGAGGATTGTTAGACCACTCTAAAAATGTAATAAGTCATTCCTTATATAATTACAGATTCCACTATGATCCACATTGCATGGCATCCACGTTAAGGGTCTACAAGCAATTTAATTCTAGCAGTATGATAATTTATAAGTGCTTGACTTTACAACTTCTAAAATCAAGGGATCATAAAGTCTATTCTGAATGTTTTTGCAGCAGACATCTTCTGCAGTCAAAACTGGAAAGCTGTGTATAAGAGCAGTGCCTACTCTCAGGATCACAGATCAGTTGAGGTCTGCAGAGACCTGTCAATATCATCTAGTCCAACTCCCATGCTTAAGCAGGGTCAGCTAGAGCAGTTTGCCCTGGACCATGTCCAGTTGGGCCTTGAATATCTCTACTGATGGTGACTCCACAACCCCTCTGAGTGGCCTGTGCCAGTGTTTTACCACCCTCACCATACAAAAGTGTTTTGTGTTCCAATGGAATTTTGTGCATTTTAACTGGTGCCCATTGCCTCTTGCCCTGCCAGCAGGTAGCCCAATGCCCATGTTGTCAGGTGTTTATACACACAAAGATGCTCCTGAGCTTTCTTTTCTCCAGGCTGAACAGTTCCAGCTCTCTCAGCCTTTCCTCATAGGAGAGATGCTCCAGTGCCTTAATCATCTTAGTGACTCTTCACTGGGCCCATTCCAATATCTCCATATACTCTCAGAAAAGACGAGTTCTGTGAGCACAGAGAAGTATGAAACTTGCACTCAGATATAGCCTGTGGTTATTACAAGTTTATCACAACTTTGAAGGGGGATTTATTTGGTTTTTCAGGGTGGAATAGGATTGGGTTGTTCCAAAGGGAGTGTTAAGGTTGGCTGGCACATCTTCAGGTTAGAATGAAAAGCACAGGATTTAAACACAGGGAAACCCAGCATTTAGTGGGAAAATTTTCACTGCCTTTTCAAGTTTCTCAGTGTTGTATTGTAACAAGTGAGCTCATCTTTCTCAGCGTGTCTACCTTGGGCATATTTCCATTGCAAATACAATAAAGGTGTGAACGTAATAGGAAACGGAAGCAATCCACTGTACTGCTGACAGTGAATTGCTTCTGTGCTTTAGTAGGTAGTGTGAGTGTATTCAGGACAGAGCCACGCTCAAGTTTCTGTGTCTTCTGTTCTCCTCTGAGTGCTATAGAGATCTGCCTGATGGAGGCAGCTGTGCCTTCCTGAGGCTCCTGAGGTTACTTACAGTGTAGAAGAACGCGATGTGTGGAAACAGGACACCTGCAAGCTGTTCAACATGCCTAGAAGTGACTAAGGGAAAAACCTGAAGCCTGAGAAAAGATGGTTTTTAAAAGGAGCTGTTTTAAAACTTTGCAGGAAAGAATCGAATACGGGAAGCACTGCAAACCATTCATGTGGCAATCGTGTGCAAGTAATACTGAGGAGAAATAGAATGCAGATCTTGGGTGCACTTCAGTATAACATAACTACCAGAGTTTTAAAAAGCAAAAGCAGCAAAATATCACCTACTATTGTGTTACCCAAGAAACACATGAACACATTACAAAAAGCATAGGTTGTAGCCTCAGTCTTTTTTATCTAGCACAATGGGTTTATTTACATGTGGTGAGGAAGACAGCTTGTTTCTGCAATAGGATGAGATTATGTTTTTGATCTTCCCAGGATGTCAACTTCTGTCATTTTTTAGCAATTCAAGAACTGGGGAAATACATCCCATCCAAACTATACCTCAGATCACAGATCATGTTTCTTCCTTGCAGCAGTAACAGAAACCCCTGAACATAAATATGAGGAGGAAAAGAGGTAGAATTTAATATCTCGTTTGGTACTGTTCTCAGTTCTCCAGAGGAGATGGTATGATTTTGTATAGCTTCTCTGTATCCACTTTTAAACAGGTTAGTCAGGTGTAATGCCACACCATCTTCAAAAAGCAGTATCTTAGTGACTTGGGTAAGCCTGGGCATGGGTGTATGTTTGTTTTTTCAACGGGGATGCATCTTGTCATTGCAACTGGAAAAGCACACACATGTATTCAGATGCAAATTCCTTCTCTTTGCAGACTTAGTTCCCATTATCATCAGTGAGATGCACCTGTCCCTACGAATCAGGTTTATCAATCTGGATTCTAATGTCCTATCTTTCCAGAGAGCCCTTCCGTGCCCCTTACACATTGGTGAATCCTTCATGCTCCCTTTAATCTTTTCTGAATAGAAACCATCACCTGCTAAGAAGGCAGGCTGTTTCCAGGGAACCCAGATGGCACAGTGCTCAGGTCCCTAGAAATGTGGGGTAAAAAGGTTGGAAGGAGCAGGCTCCACTCTTAAGTCACCTGGCACAAACCTCCTATGATGAAATAGGACTTGCCAGTTAGTAAGCACAGCTAGGCTGGTGGGTTTTGCCAGTACAAATGCTTCTGTCCTTAGGATGCCCAGAACACACAGCTTGTAGACAAAGCAGCAACCACACAAATTTCATCACGCTGGATAGCTGCCCAAGGAGTCCTGTTCTGTGCTGGCAGGGCAGCTTGTGGAGAGCCAAAGCATCTGTCTATTCTGGACCATCATTCACAGCACCTTGAGCTACCATGACTTTAATCCTAGCTTGTAGAATCATAAGACTATGAAGAAAAAAATATCAGTTTTCATTACAAAAAAAGGGTATTTGGCCCTGTAGTAGCCGGGAAATGTTTAAGAGTTTGACACTTACACTCAGTAAGCTCTGATGCCAAGAGGCAAACTCAGTCTCCACCCTGCAATTGAATGGAGAAAACAAAAAACTAAAATTGGATGTTTAAGTGTTCTTCATGCTTTTGTTAGTTACTAGAAGTGCATTTTAATTTAACTGTACATAAGCACATTTGGTAGTGAAAATGAAAACATCAGAGTTCAGGTCAGCTGGCACCATGCCTTTCCCAAAGCCTCCTTCTTGTGCCATGCCTGTCCTGCACTTTCTTTCTAGTTCCTTAGTCTTTGGCACAGTGTTTTTTCCATTCTCATGTCAATTTTTCCACCTCTTTGAGGAGTGACTCCAGGACTCACACGCGCTCCATCCTTTCCCTCTCTATTCCTGCAGCTGCTGTAGATCATTCTCATTCAGCTTCTTATGAGTCTGTTTACTGACTGAATCAAAAACAAAATCAGGAATTATGCAGGCATTTGCTAAAATTACACTTTTTTGCATTTTCCACTGAAGCACACACAGTCCTGTTTTCAAAGGTTTCTTCAAGATTTTAAACTCCCCTGCTCTGAATTATTTTCTCATTTACAAGAGAGAATTTAGAGCAGCAGCAGAGAAGTAACAGGACTATACTACTAAACTAACCCGTGTCCTTCCTTACAGATCTCATACGAGGATGTGGATCGCCTGAAAGGATTAGCTGTGATTGAGAACATGAGGGTGCCTCACTTTTTGCAAGACCATGCCCGGTACATGGAGCACTTGGAAAAGATCATGGAAGTCAATGAACTGACTGATGAGGAGCTCCAGGATCTCATAAATTAACAGTAGTAGCCCACCTTTGTGAGGAGGTAGAACCGATCTTCCCTGACCTTGCAAAAATGGACTTACGAGGAGTGGGAGGGAAGGGTGGCCAGAATATGTGGAATTCAGGAAAAGCTCCGTTATGTTCCTTTTGCATCGTGATTGTATACTGATTAGTTTTTAAAGGGACTGTGCATTTTTTTTTAAATTTGGCTTAGAAATTCCTCTGCAGTGATCTGTCCAATCATTTATTCTATTTTGTATGCTAGGTATAGTGTTTGGTGCTGTCTCTTGTAATATACTGTCTTTTCCCACCCAGGTTTAGAGGTGGAAGAAAGGAGAAGGAAGAGAAATTCCCCTTTAGTTCACTTGTGTTTGCCTTATCTTTGGTCATAGCTTTCACAGTTCATAGAACAACCTACAGCAGTTCTATTGCTGCATTGTTGTCTGCATTACTTTCCCATTTAGTCGTCATTGCAATGAAAACAGAAAGTTTAAAAACGGTGCACAGAAGCAGGTCTTTGTGCCACAGGATCAGAGCTCTGTAATGTTATAAAACATTTTGGAGTTTTTTTGGTGAAAGAATAAGCATTTTAAAAAGAGAAAAAAGATAGGTATTGCTGTTTCAATGGCTGTAAGCAGGTAGCAAAGTTATTTCCCTTTATTCCCTCAAAAAGATACACTGTTCCACATCTTTATCTGTAAAGTACATGTTTCAGGAAGCTAAATTCTGGAAAGGGTCTGCCTCCTCTGAGGACAAGCATAGCATGTCTAGGAAGTTCAACATGGGAGTGTTTTGGAAGAAGAATCAAGCAGAACTGTGATTTCATGGCTTATGTGTTCTAAATAAATTCAGGAACACAGGGCCATGTTTCAGGATGGTGGGCAACATTTACTTTTTCTCTGGGTCACCTGAGCCTACAGAGGATCAATTCGTATTTTTGAGCAGTACCTCCATGCTACAGCAAGCTTGAGTTTGCAGAGCTTGTTCAAGAAACAAGATGTGACAGGGGGAGGAAAAGAAGACTCATAAGTGCCCTATTCCTGTGTTCCAACAGAAGTGCTGCACCACTCTGAAGCAACTTTACCTCTGTGTTAACTCTCGGTGCTATATCCAGGACCAAGAAGAGAAAGCTCCTTACTGTAAGGCTTTCTCTAGTCACATGATAAATAGCTTAGATGATGCAGGAGGTCTTACTACATAAACTACATTTTCTGATTCCAGAGTATTATGGAATTGTTGAGGCAAATTGAGTTTTGCACCTCTAAGTATTCTGACAAAGGGTTTTGTTTTAGTAGACAGCATTTTACCAGGGCTCCTCTGAATTCCCAGGAAGCAGCTGTGGGAGGAGAGGCTGGGCAGGAACTACTGGGAGTCTTAGACAGGGCTTCTGCCCTTTTTTTCCTTCTGCCTTGGCTCACTGGTAAGAGGTCTGGCATGGGATAAGGTGAGCAGATGGAGCCAAGGTTTCCTCTATGCCACATTTGCATGGACCTGAGCCATGGTATCCTGTTCTTTAAAGAAACAAATGGAATAACCCTCCTGCCTTATTTTACACCCAGGACATTACCAGCCATGACAGTAAAATCTTGAGAACACATTTTCTGATCTATAGGAAAATCTGTGAGGAAAAGCTCTCAGTTGGCTAAGAGGTCTGAAGATTTATGAATAATCCTGTAAAGGTAGCTGCCTTTCAAATACTATTGTAGGTGTGTTTGTAGTGGCTGGCTGGCTGACTGCTGCAAAAAAAGAAAATGTATTCAATGATCATAGATTTACTAAATTTAGTTATTTTCAAGTCAGGGCTCAAGAACTGCTTGCAGCAGCCTTAATTTTGTGTTGTCAGTATTGTTCAGCAGCTGAAAGCCTTTCAGCCTCTGTATTCTGAAATAAAAGCCCTATTTTCTCTCTTCCTCTCCTTCAGGCTGTCTAGTTTGATCACTGGTGACTTCGCCTGCCCAGCTTTGTTTTAGAGCTGTGCAGAGTAGAAACTGTGTTGCAGCAGCCTGACAGGACCCATTAGCACACCCACCTGCTCCAGGTTTTGGCTCCTTTGCCAGAAACAGCAAGAAAGCCCCACGTGGCTGAAGTTGAGCCAAAGATTGCAGTCAAAAGCTGTCTTTGGAGTAAACTGGGCAGAGATGATTTGAGCTACACCATGGAAGAATCTGGCTCACTTTTCTGACCCAGAGTTATGCAAAAGAGACAGTCCTTTATGAAAGGGACAATTTTGAACTGATTTTATTCTTACAGGAGAGATCCCTGCCTTCCTCTAGTGACTTCTACATAAGCAAAGTGCTTTTCCTCCTCCTGCAGTAGTGGTGTCTTATAATCTAAGTGCACATGCATACTGTGTTCTCAAAACCAGGAGGCTGTGCTAGTCACCCTACTTTGCCACAAAATGCCGTTCCTACAGCCCTTTGTCCAACAGCCGCTTGACTCCTTTACCACTCTGTAGCCCTAAACACTACTACAGGCCTTTTTTGCTTTACTTGAAGACTAGCATCATCTTTCTTTCAAAGCAGTGGGTGCCATTAAACTTCCATTCTTCATTTTTCTAGAAATAGATTTGCCTGGTGCAAGTTTGAAGTCTGGAAGTGGTCAAGATCAATATGTAGCAATAGGTGAAGCTGTCAGCTTCTGTTTTCAGCATCAGATTTGTAGGTACTCCTTTGTAAAAGTGTTTCAAATTTTGAAGTGTAGCTTTTGTAAATTTTTCTGAATTTTTGTTTTTCACTGTGAAGAGGCTGGTTACTAAGTTGTGATACCGGAGTTCTGTGATAGAGTGTGTGGACAGCAGTGCACGAGAGCTCATGTCACTATATAGTTCCATGATGTCAATGATGTGTCGACAGCCTTTCCTAGAGGTCTGGCTTGGTTGCTTTGCTGTGTATCTACATTATTCCTGTAGAGAAACCTGGTCAACATTGGAAAAGCCTCTCAGTTTCACCATACCAATTTTAAAAGGCATTTTATACAACTTTTACAAATAAAGAAAAATGAAAGAATGACTGAGAGATAAGAGTACTGAAGTGTTATATTGTGTTGTGTGAGAGTGTTACCCTCTTCCAATGGCCTCGGCTGTATGGCAAGTTGGACATTACAAGCTGTGCATGGAAGAGGTGCCTTTCTGTTCATTTAAAAGTGTCTTAATAATATTCATAATATATTAACACCATTTTTTTTTCAGTGTGCAGTTTAAAATGAGATCGTGTATCTTTACTACAGACAAGGGAGAATCTGTTTTGGCTTTGCTGAACAATTACAGACTTCTCACAACTGAAAGTCTATATTAGATTAAATCCAGAAAATCTGGATATTGAATTTTAAACCCATTCATTTACATTGATTCAATAATGAAAAGATGTCATCAGAATTATCTTTCAAGGCATAGCCATAACCTTCCCATTAAAATTGTCTAAATTAATTTCTTATGGTGCTGCTGAAATATTTTGTATCTTCCCAAATCATATAGTGCCTCTTAGACATTTTAAGTATCTTTTCCTGAGGTTTCTAAGGACCAACAGGGTGAAGTACAGCATTATTTCAGCTCTTTGGATAATGAAGAAATTGAGGCTGAAGTTAGAACTACACTGGCTAGCATGTGAAGCAGAAAAGAACATAGATAGAGACCACACAGATAGGGCTTACATGAGTGAGAAGGATTGGGTTGAATCAGCAGGGTTTTGAAAAGAAAAAAATTACTAACAAAACTCAGTGGTGGGAGAAATGCAACCAGTGGACGGGAGTGGCTGGCTCCAGGCCACAGCACACTGGTCGTGCTGCCGGGCAGACACCTCCCCGCGGGGACCTTCTCCACTGGCACATGTGATGCTGGGGGGCTTTGGAGAAAAAGCAGAGGGCACATGCCAACACCAACACCCTGCACAGCTACTCTGATACAGCAGAGCTGGGCTCATGTCCAGGTCCTGACCCAGCAATGCCCAGAAAATGGTGCTTGGAAGGTCTCATGTATACACATTAGGGCCTGATTTCCATCCTGTGCCGCATCCCAAACAAGAGACTTGTCAGGCTGTTTCCTCCAGCTTACTGGCTTATTTCTCCTGTGTGACTTTTGTCCTGGACTCTAGCACTCATCCTTCAGGCTGTGTTTTTTTTAATCTTAGTCCTTCACCTTCCTTCTTGTATATCCTGAAGGAATACATTCACTACCAAATCATGCAGCTCTGAGCCTAGAAAGTAAGTCAATTTACTCCCATCCACCAAAAAATCCACAGGTGATCTGTGAGTCTACCTCTTCCCCTTCCTCTCCTGGCACTATTGTAAAGCTGAGGTCCTCTGTAATTCTGATTTTCCTTTACAGATTTCAGCAAAGAAGCTTTTCCAGGTTAGGGCAAGATTTATCACCAAGCACATAGGACCATGTGGAGAAGCCTCCAGCTGTTGATTCACTCCGCCATCTGCTCCCTCATCTCCATCCCTCTGTCTTTCCCAGCCTCTCAGTCCCACCCTCTTCCAGCTCTCAGCATCCTTGGTCAGACATTTCTCCACCCTTCTCCTTAGGACCCTCCATGTTGCAGCTATGTCCTAGACATGAATCACTTCAGGGAACCCCCATGCCATTCTCGCCTGTTTGTTGCCATGCTCCTGCTACCCCTTACACCCCATTTGCAATCTCTCACGTATCTCCTCTACTCGCCCTGATTCTTTGAGGCACCTGCACAGGTCCTCAGCTGTAGCAAGACCAAAAAAAAAACCCTTTTCCTTCTGTTTTGAAGCGAAAAAGGTGGTTAAGTGTAGCTCTGCTCGCACATTTCCAGTCTGGAGCCCTGACAGTTACATCACTACCTTCCTGCTGCAGAGAGAAAGGAGCTACTGCGGGTCCCCAGCCTGCTGGGACAGGCTGATTTCTGAGCATAAAGCAAAGCATGCTGCTACAAGCAGGGGTATAACTCTCCCTACCCCAGAGGTGACAGACAGGGAAAAGCACTGTGTGTATCAGCTGACCAGTACTGCCACCCTTTGGGTCTCCACATATGCCTCCATACATCCCCCCAGGCACAGGTCAGAAGGCAGGGAGGAAACCTAGCAAAAATGCATCTCCCTCCAGCACCTTCTTGACCCAAGGGAGCACTTGGGTGGATGAGGACAGAGTGAGAGGTCCCTTTAAAGCAGCTGGGAAAGCCTCATGTGCAAAGAGGAAGAGTGACAGGACCACAAAATTGCTAGGAACAGGAGTAATAGTCCTACAGTTGAGGGAATCAGGTTAAGGTGCCCCCAAATAAGACTATGCAAGAGAACTGAGGTGCCCAGCCAGGCACACATGTGAGTGATCTTCGTGGGAGCAGGCTAACTTCAAGCAATAAGAACAGGAGGAGGTAAAGTAACCATCTAGCTGTAAGGCAGTCCCTCTCATCTACCACTGTGCCAAGCAATTAAGGAGGTCTCAAGCAATGGTCTGGAGAAGGAAGAGCTTTCCTGAAGGTCATTCCCTAAAAACCAGTGGGAAAGTGCTCTGAGAGCCTGGTGCTGGTGCTCCTTGTGTCTTCACACAAAGTTTGAGCAACACTGCAATTCAAGTCTGTGCACATTCCATTT